TCAATACATTTTAAGCCATGAGCAATCCATTCCTTCAATTGTCAATGATAAATTAAATACAACCAATTTCGCCAAATAAAAACCCAACAACATAGTTTAGAGAAAGGTTATGATCCACATTTTGATCAGAAACAACATAAATTTAAAGACAATCAACAAGCTTCTGATTCACATTTTCACTTCAAGTGATTAAGGAAATGGTTTTGACATGCCAAGCTTTACCCCCAAAGTTGAAGTTACAGCATAAATATTAGATAAAAAATGTTTCTAAATATTATATTGAAATACTCTTTCACACTTGGGGCTCAGAAATTGAGCTCGACCTTTGATGGGGGCTCGTTTCGAGAGAGAGCATTGCTCTATAGGATCTTCGTAGAGATAGTGACAAAGTTGAGGGACCTTTGATTGTGTAGAGAGAGGAGAGAAAAACATGGTGCTTTGTGGGACATTGGTAGAAAGAGAGATTGGGAGAAAAGCTGAGTTTTGACCTCAATAGAGAGAGTGAGTGGAGCCTTAGTAGAGAGAGAGGAGAGAAAAACATGGTGCTTTGTGGGACACTGGTAGAAAGAGAGATTGGGAGAAAAGCTGAGTTTTGGCCTCAGTAGAGAGAGTGAGTGGGGCCTTAGTAAAGAGAGTGGGAGAGTAAAAAAGTAGATCATGAGAGAGAGTGAGTGGGGCATTGGTAGAATGAGAGAGAGACAAGAGCTCACCTCACAGGAGAGAAAAGCGACCCTGGTATTATACCCAACTAGAGAGAGAAAATACACTTTTGTGCCCTGATAGAGAGAGAAACGGATTTATGTTGTGCCCCGATAGAGAGAAAAGGGAAAAATCGTAAGCCTTGGTAGAGAGAGGGAAAATCGTGAGCTTGGTGGAGACACGAATGGGAAAATCATGAGCTCTGTAGAGAGTGAAAGGGGAAAATTCGTGAAGAGAGAAAGGGGAAAATCATGAGGGAAACCGAAATGGGTTTATGGTAAAAGAATCGTGTGAGAGAAATGATTTTAGGGTAAAACATAAAAGGGAGGGTAGTTTAGTCTTTATTTCACTTTTTTTTTTAGATTAGGGGGTATTAGCTAAAAAAGTTGGTTTTGGGGAAAAGTATGTTATAAAAAGTTAGGCTGAAAAAAGTGCTTAGAGAGTCCATATTTGGGGGTTTTAAGCAATTTTCCCTAGAAAATAAGATATCTATTTTCTTTATTTAAAGATTTGATGGAAATAGATCTAAGAAAAAGAGGATAAGGCTCTAGCTCATCTCTTTGG